TTTATTTAATATAGATTCATTCACTTTTTAAATTAGTACAAAGGAAGAATGCATTTATATGAAACAAATATATTTTCCGTTTGGAGCACAAAATAATACACCTCATGTTGGTGATCTGCTTCCAAGTGGATGAAACAGGTTAGCGATCTATGTTTTTCTCTGACTAGTAAAAGTTTTGATCACACAACTAATGTTAAATTTTTTCCTGTTATGAAGTGACTGGCTGAATATCACTTGAGTCTTTTTCTTTTTTTTTTTCCCCTCCTTTTTTCCCTCCTTTTTTCCCTCCTTTTTTCCCTCCTTTTTTCCCTCCTTTTTTCCCTCCTTTTTTCCCTCCTTTTTTCCCTCCTTTTTTCCCTCCTTTTTTCCCTCCTTTTTTCCCTCCTTTTTTCCCTCCTTTTTTCCCTCCTTTTTTCCCTCCTTTTTTCCCTCCTTTTTTCCCTCCTTTTTTCCCTCCTTTTTTCCCTCCTTTTTTCCCTCCTTTTTTCCCTCCTTTTTTCCCTCCTTTTTTCCCTCCTTTTTTCCCTCCTTTTTTCCCTCCTTTTTTCCCTCCTTTTTTCCCTCCTTTTTTCCCTCCTTTTTTCCCTCCTTTTTTCCCTCCTTTTTTCCCTCCTTTTTTCCCTCCTTTTTTCCCTCCTTTTTTCCCTCCTTTTTTCCCTCCTTTTTTCCCTCCTTTTTTCCCTCCTTTTTTCCCTCCTTTTTTCCCTCCTTTTTTCCCTCCTTTTTTCCCTCCTTTTTTCCCTCCTTTTTTCCCTCCTTTTTTCCCTCCTTTTTTTTCCCCTCCTCTCCTTTTTTTTCCCTCATTTCTTTCCTCTCCTTTTGTTTTTTCCTTTTTCCCTTTTTTTCCCTTTTTTCCCCCCTTTTTTTTTTCTTTTTTTTTTCTTTTTTTTCCCCCCTATTTGACTTGGAATCTGAAGAATGTCACAATCTGAAAGTTATCTTAGCTTTTCACAGTGGTTTGCAATTGCACACCAAGCATAAATACAAATATTCTAGGAGTATAGACCTTGACTAATGAAGGTAATGTAATACGTACTCTTTGCTTGCCTGAACCATGCCAAGCTGTAAGTGCTCTCCAAGGAAAAGACTGGTTTGTAGATCTGTGTTCTGAATGGCTCAGTCAGCTACCCTGTTAACTTCAAAACTGAGTTTAAATGGTTAGTTGAACTTGGTCATCTCTTTAGTACTTTAAACCTTTTTTGGTATATAATGCCTGATGCCAAGTGTGTATTATTAACCACTACAACTTTATACATTGTCTTGGCAAAAGATGCAAGATTTCTGTCAATCCAAAATTTACAAACTACTTCTAAAGAAGAAAAAGACTTACCAGATTATATCTTTGCAATTGTCACATTCTGAAACATGATTTGTGTTTTTCAGGTTTGTATCTCAGTCTTCCAAAGAAGCCTATGTGATTTCTCTCTATATCAACAATCCGTTACTTATTGGTGGAAAGAAATTTGATCTTCGTCTATATGTTTTAGTATCTACGTATCGTCCACTGAGATGTTACATGTAAGATTGTATATATTTGTATTTTGTTTTGAGAGAATGTTTAATGTAGTCAAAATAATGTTGTGCATGTTGCGCAAAGAAGTTTAACATGTACATGGTATCCTAGGATGCTCTTTTCCTTATTTCTTATTGGGGTTTAACACATTTTAATGACTTTTTGCATTTAAGGTATAAACTTGGATTTTGCCGGTTTTGCACAGTAAAATATACACCAAGTACAAGTGAATTGGATAACATGTTTGTGCATCTTACAAATGTTGCCATTCAGAAACATGGGGTAAGTGTCCTGAGTTCTTAGGTGTTTTTTTGTAGGAAGACTGATTTTCTTGAATTGTCTCCAAAACTTGAAATAAAAAGTTTTATTTGTCATATTCTTCATCACCTTGCAATTAAAATACTTCGACTTGAACTTACAAATAAATAAATTTCAGAAGACTGCAGATCAAAAGTATGCAAGATAATGAGTTACAGCTCTGTAATAAACTGTGATATCTTCAGTATTGACTTGCAGTGGTTGAAAGCAGCGGGTTTTTTCCAAGTCTCCTGTCATTTAAATGCTAATATGGTCACTTAGCAATTGATTCTGTGAGCAGTGGAATTAATGAAGCCTGGTTCCTGTGGATTTGTATTTTATAATAGCACTTCAATATCGTCTTCCTGATCTCCCCTTCCCTCTCTCTCTCCCATGCAGTTAATTCCGCTTTCCTATTTCCAGCACTTATTCATCACAGTACTTTCCAGCTTCTTCCTATGTTTCCCTCCCCCGCCCCCACCTTCCTTCTCTGGATAAGAAAGGGAATGTGCAGTTGCGAGCTTGGAGATAAACGTTTGCTGCCTGGCCAGCTGGTGACTTCCTCTTCAATGGACAAAGATGGAGTTCTGCCTGCAGAACAGTTCTGTCCTGTAATTTGCCATTGATATTCATAAAACATGTGGAAACCTGATAGCTTTGACAGCACTTCCCGATGTCAAAATAGGCTTAAATTCACTAGTGGGAGGAAAGGCTAGTGGGTCAGGGGTGACATGAACAGATGGGCATACAGTATCACTGCCCAAGCCTTGTTTCTTCAGGGAATCCACTTGATGATGATGACTGTCCCTTTTGCGTTTTTAGCGGATGTCTGTGATTTATAAGCCATGCCTCTGTTACGGTAATTAAAACTCTGTTGTCGCACTTCCTAATTTCACAGGTTTTATTTTAAGAGTATAGGAAAAAAACGTGTATGTACATACACGTATGCATACACTCATGCATATATATTTATATGTGTATACACATACACTTACTCACAAGATACATATAATGTATCTTAAATTGCAACCTTGCTAAATATGCCTTGTCTATTATTGTTCTGTAAGATGTGCAGCATAGCAGAACTGTTTTTATCTGGATATTCCTGTAACAACAATGTGAATTATAAATATCAGTTATGGTGGTAGTTATAAACCAGAGTAAGTGTCAAAATATGGCATTTTTCAGTACTACAAACATTTTCTTGCTCAGGTGCTGATTTGTGAAGTGCTTCAAATGCATTATGATTTGACAGGGCACACTGAGAATTAGTTGTGGTGGAAGCAGATCCCATACAACTTAGAGCATAAATCATGGTGCTGCCAGTAGCAGTGAACAGGTGAGGCATGTGATGTGTTGCCTATCCTGTTACTATGCGCCCTTTTATCTTCTCTACCTGTTAAAGAATGGCCTTCAAGATTTCTCCCAAATAAAACTAGAAGTGAAAGTAGTGGTGGGGTCACTTTGAGAGAAGGGACAACAGAAATGGGTGTAGAAGTAGCAGCTTAAAAATGTGGAGTTATTACCAGAGTATTTGAAAAACTTTTTAGAAATTCCGAAACACTAATATCTGTTGAGTTTTGCAGAAAGAGGTGAAAAAAGTTTAATGTAAAGCCACCCTATCCATCCTATCTGTTTTAAACGTGTCTGTAACTTTGGAGGCACTTAGGCTGTACAGTTTTAGAAGAAGAACCTAACATGAACTGTCAAGTAATTTATCAAAATTATGAGGAGGTCTGGAAAAACTCTTTAAGTTCTAGCTGTTAATCTCTACTCTAATCCCTACATGAACCATAGGGTTCCAGTGTGTTTGCACCCTATAGGCTCATGGGAAAACATCCCTAATTTGAAAAGTGTACAATTCAATATCGGGGGAAGGGAAAGGGTAAAATGAAGGAAGGAGGGTAAGTCAGTATACCCATTGTAATGTTTGTGCTGGAAAATACAGTTCTAAGTCATTATTCATTGGATGTGTAATACAAACAAAACAACAGTAATTCTTCTACTTAATTATTTTCAGTTAGTGATCTTCTACGTAACCTGCAATATTCTACTTTGTTTTAATATTTCTAATTAAAAAGCTGTGATTGTGTAAAGCTCTACCCAGTTGCAATCTATTTTGATTTGAGTACTTGTTCTGAAATGCAGAGGGTTGAAACTTTGATCTCTGTTCCCTTGCTGGAATCTGGTCTCAAGACATTTTTTCCATGCAGCAAGTCCTGAGAACCAGGACTTATTTCTTTATAGTCTTAAAGACTCAGATCTTTATTTTTACAGTCCAGTTTTCCAAATTTACTAAGGGGGGAGCTGTAGAAAAAGCCTAAAAATAGATAGAGGCTTCTCTGACCTTGTCTTAGAGGACAACAGATTTTGTTCCTTTGAGAACTTTTTTGTGCTCTATGCATTCTGTGTTTTATAGTTTAGCAGGCATACAATCATTAATTCTTAGAAATGCTCTGAGGAGAACCTTTATAAAGGGACAAAGCATTTGTCCTGAGAGTTATTTGAGGGCTGAACGTGTGTCTTTCCATCAGTAAGAATACCCTCAGTTTGCTCTTGTCTTTCCATGTAGAGAGAATATAGTGCAGAGCCTTGTTAGCCTCTGAAAAGACAAATGTAAGGTAACCTCCTTTTTTCCCCTGTTCTGTTTTAGTAGCACTTAGTGTTTTTTCTATATCAAAATACTGAATTACTTGAAAAATTAACCTTTAAAAATAATTCAGGTGTCGTTTCACTGTCGTCTTGAATGTAACTGTTGTCAGTAGCACCATTAAGAAGGTACCGTGTTTGCCTTTTGGGAAACAGACAAGTCACATTTTAAATGAATAAACACAGACAAGCACTTTCAAGTGCTGCATTTTAAAACAACTAACTTCAGTGAAATTTAGCTATTGCTCACTTAATTATTTCTCCCTTCTCCCCCGAGGAGGAAAAAGTTCAATTCTTTCCTTTCACATTTTAAAACTTAAATTTCCAGATCATAGATTTTATTTTACTATAAAACTGTAAAAGTACCAGTTGTTCTTTTCTTCTAAGAAAGATTTATTACTTGATTTGCGATGTGTGATATAAACATATACAGCTATAATAAAAGCAGTTGTTCATATAGAGGGCAGTTCAAAGTAAAGCTGAAGTCTTCATAAAGCTGTAAAATAGAGTAAAAACAATTTGCTGAGTTTGTTTTTAGAGCAATACTTGTATGTAAGTATAAGTGGGCTTTTTGTGTGAATGAAAGAAAACTGCTGAACAACTTCAAAATCTTAGACTGAATTAACTCCTTAACTCTTCAGGATGATTACAATCATATCCATGGAGGCAAGTGGACAGTGAGTAACTTACGCCTGTATCTGGAGAGCACCCGTGGAAAGGAAGTCACAAACAAATTATTTGATGAAATTTACTGGATAATTGTGCAGTCGCTGAAGGCTGTTGCGGTGAGTACTGTTCCTGGAATGCTGCCAGCGATAGCGTTACGGCTGCAGGCTTCTTATAACCATGAAAGTGAGTTTGCCATCAAAACCCCTAAAATCTATTTCCTGCTATTTGAGAGATGGTGTTGATGCTGATTTCTGCAATTCTGTTATCTTTTGATTTCTCTGAGCTGAGTGAACTTGAATTGTGGGTGGGTGAGCTATCTGTGCATTTTGAAGAAGTGAATGAATCTCTTTCCTTGAGGGCTCTGTGAACTATTTAATATGACTTGATACTGCCCTTATGAATAGTATTAAGCTCTGCCAAGGGACGTGACGTCATTTCAGCAATAACAAATGTGTCAAAGGAAAAATAGCTCTGGAGGACAATTTATCAAAGAAAACGTAAGGCTATTAGTTCAGCAGAGTTACATAACTTACTTTCACCTCTTTTATACATGAGTCATGTAGTTATCATGAACTCTTATTTTGAAACAAAGAAGAAAAGTAGCAATCAATCCTCTGCTTGAGTGACTTTCTGGTGTTTGGGTAATATCCCATGATTACATTAGAGAGTAGGTATCACTCTGTGGGTCAGCTGGGGTAGCTGGAGAGCTCACTGGTGCCAAGGACTGTCCTGTTCCTAAGTGCGTGGTCCTGTCATCTCTTTTGGGTTGGTCCTGGCACCATCGTGAGCTGAATCGGCTCACTCGCCCAACTGACAATTACTATCTTGCTTTATGGAAGGGTTAGTATTCTGGCAGTGTGATAAGCTGAATCACCTCACTGAAGGACCAGATGAACACCAGAATCAGCATGAGAAAGAGGGACAAGGTCGTGAAGCTAAATCAGTGGGAGGTGGGGAAGCATGGCTCAACTCAGCCTCTGCTGTGCAATCATATTTGAAAACAGATGTGAGAAGAAAAGAGATTTAATGCAAATGTTAGCAGAACCTTAAAAGAGAAAGGAAAAAGTGTTGAGAATTATTGAGCATGAAATGTTTTGGTCCTCTGTCTTTCTGACAATGGCAAATGTAATGAGAGATGTTTGTTCCTCCTTCCCCCTTTCGCTCCCGGAAGAACTGAAAAGCTTTCACTATTAGTCTAGGGGAAACATCTCACTAACCGGTTACAAAGGTTTCTTTAGAAGATCTGATGAGATTTGCATGGAGAAAAAGTCTTACCATGCATACTGCGAATGTTTAGCAGATGCTGGAAAACTACTGATTCTCTAGCGGATGTGCATCTCAGCACAACTTGGTCCTTGGTCTCTCTTTTTTGGGATCATAGTTGACTTGAGCTAATTATAATTTTAAAATATATCTGGTAATTGTTTGACCTCAAATTTCTGCATAGTTACAGCAGCATAATAAAAGAAACGTCTTTGAATAAGTCTCCTTTTTCTGAAGTTTAAAGAATTCACGATTATGTGAAGCTGTGTTATGTAACTTTTAAAACTTCCTGATTTCTCCTGATGCATGCAGGCTTTAAATATTGTTATTACTTTTACAAAATATGAAAACACTTTTATTTTCACACTGGAAACATAATGGAAAATTAATGTAACTTAGTACTTGGCATTAATGCAATCGTTAATATTGAAATATTTATTTACAGCTTGGAAAAAAGAAGTAATCCTGAACTTACTAGTTAGCAAGCTTATATTAGAGTTACAACACTGAAAACTGTTGTAGAAGGTTCATAATGTAATCGCATGTGATTTCTAGCAAACAAAGTGTGTAATCAGGTTACTTATGTTGATTTTAATACATATTGTTGTCTTTTTTTTTTTTTTAGCCTGTAATGAATAATGATAAACACTGCTTTGAGTGTTATGGATATGACATTATCATTGATGACAAGCTTAAACCATGGCTAATTGAGGTAAAGTTACGTAAAATACAGGGGAAAAAACCTTCCTTCTCATTTCACAGAATAAAACTAAGTAGATTTCAATGTAGTCTTTCCTCTTTTGAAACAGTATCTTTTGTTCTTCAGGTAAGTGGATTAAGAAGAATGTTGGAAAGCAAAATAGGCCGTGTGATGACCAAGCTAGCATGTGCTTTTGTTTCCTATTTGTTTGGTGTTTCTATTTGTTTGTGGCTTTCAGTTTTGTCTTTTAAATCCAGTGCATCCATACAATTGGACTTTTCAGAGGCAGTCTGAATGTTAGCAGCCCTATTAGATACTCTGTCAGTAGCTGGAAAATTGGCATTGGCTTGATGGAGCATAACATCAAACTTAAGTTTTAAATGCTGTCATGGCCTTAATGTTGCAGGTTGAGAGGAAAGAAAAGGGGCACACAAAGGATGATTGGGATGTTTAGAAGGCTTTTTTTTTCCCCCACATAAATTTCTCTTTAGTGTATTAACTTTGGATCTGTATGCTCAACATAAATTTTATCCAGCCCTCTTCCTTCTCAATCTAATTGAAAGTGAAAGATAAAAGGCAAATGGACTTTATAAACAAAAACAAACAAAAAAGATCTGTTTGTTGTTCTGATAACATAATAAATGTGGAACATAAGATATGTTAAATGAACCCCAGTTTTAATTAAAACAAGAGGCAATGTAGTGCTTTGAACAGAGAGCACGTATGTGTTTCTCCAGCTCACAGTTTAACAGGGGAGAACTCAGATTAAGAACATAAATAAAAGCTGTTTACCTAGGAGAAACCCACAGATTCCTGTATATAACAGCTGTTGGAGTGAACCAGGCAAATTGTGAGCACTGAAATTTAAGAGTTTTGTATCCATGTAAGCTTAGAAAATTAAACAAAAATCTATGTCTTGTCTGATTAACCCTGGTGAATCTAGTCTCAACAAAAATCTTCAGGCTGACACTGCAGACACTTGGTGGTGTGGTGCTTTTGTTTTTAAGTAAAAAGAAAAATGCCCAGTGGGGGATTCCTTCCAGTGTCTGAGGAACTGAAAGATGTGCTTTCAGACGCTGAGTCTTAATTTCCCAAATAGTACATATAGTCATCACACATGCTGTTTGAAGAACTATATACCACTCAGGAAATTGATGCTGACATCTTTTTTTCTTTTGTAGGTTAATGCTTCCCCTTCTCTTACTTCCAGTACTGCTAATGATCGCATCTTGAAGTATAATCTTATTAATGACACACTTAACATTGCTGTGCCTAATGGGGAAATTCCAGACTGCAAATGGAATAAATCTCCACCAAAAGAGGTTCTTGGCAATTATGAAGTCTTGTAAGTTTTATCAATGTTCTATATAAATGCAAATGTTTTTCAGTCACCTCACTTTTTTAATGTGTAATGCAGACCACAGAGATAAGGTGAACTTCATTCTGATGTGAAAAATGGGCACAAAGTACCACTCCATTTTTTTGGAGCTGCAATAGCAATGTTGGAGGTGGGAGTGCGTTAAAGCAAAGTTGCCTTGCCTCGTCTCCAGAGGGAATGTTACTTGTCTGATAATCCCCTGCCTGCACCTTCTGAGCTTCCAGCAGCTAGATTTGAGGGATAGAGGCAAAGAGAGTGTTTGTCTTCTACATGTGTAGAACTTTAATTGTATTGAGTGTAATATATAGGTGGTAGTTAAATAGATATAATAGCTATTTGATACAAATTTTCTCTCAGTTCATAGAAATGATGCCTCTTGACTCCTGTAATTCATGGGTGTAATAATAATGAGTTGCCAGGTATTTTTTAAATTCCCCAATCTGTAGTACGAAGAGAGAAATGAAAGAGATGGAGATCTTTATATTGGAGTGTCTGAAGGATTTGTCTAGGATTGATTGGTCTTAGGCGGAGGAACACTGATTTAAATACCATATTGATGATACAGTTTCTCGTCTTTTTGGAGAAAATATTCACATAGGTTCTCTAGCACTAGTGGTACAATTGTTCAGTACATCAGGAATGCAGTTATGTACATAGTTGATCCACTAGTTCATACTGATCTTAAATACTCTTTCTTTATACTAGTAAAGACAGTTAAATATAAGTGTTGGCTGAATTATGATCTAAGTTTTACGGTAGCTACATGGTAGCTGCAGATACCTATACAGTAGTGTAACGAAGTATATATTATGACTCTTCTACAAAATATTGTAGTATTACCTTTTGATAATTATGCATCTGTAGCCAATTTCTGCTTGGAATTTGCGTAGCAGCTGAGAGGTAAGTATATACTGAGGCTCTGAGGCCATAATGGGCTTAGATATTTAAAGAACTACTTGTCACTGTGGTTAAGTGTTAAAAAATACATGTCATCAAATGCATTTAATTTAAGCACACTGTTTTTCCCTACTCGCTCTCTGATGCAACAGTGGAGTTTTTTAACACTGCAGCTAACAGCCCTCTGCTTGAAGCAATAGCTTAAGACTTTATTAAACTGCCAGCATTCTGATGTTCCTTAACCACAGACCTACGTAGTGAGGAGAAATACAGAAGTACATGGGAAATTTCACAAGCATAAAATTTCACAAACTCGGGAGTTCAACCAAAGCTGCCAGATGATTTGTTTCTTTCAAAAAGTAGCTGAAGATATTTCAGTTGATCTGTATTGTAACATCATGTGGTAGTATATTTCCTTGAACAATAGCTGCATATCAAACTATGCATGTGTAAACCTGTGTGTAGAACAGCTTGTATTGAATTTCAGTGCTAAATATTAAGCAAAATAGAATATAGAGGACCCAGTCTTGTTTGTGTAGTGAATTGCAGGACAAGGTATTGAACAGGTTATCTTGTTTTCAGATATGATGAAGAGATGGCGCAAAGTGATGGGCCTGATCGTGACTTGCGAAGTCGTTCTGGGCAATCCACTGGAGTAAAAGGAAATCGTGCAAGAGATTCAGGAAAGCCTGTACTAACCACCTGGAAGTGATAATAGAAAAAACAGCTGCACTCTTGGTAGGAAGACATCACGAACAAAAATGCAGTTTTTGAACGGATTCCTCTATTTTGCTACATTGCATGTGGGAAATATTAAAACAGGACAATACAGCCTTTGAAAAAAAGTGAAACAAACACTCTAAAACCAGTAACTGTACTAGACATACACTGACTCGATGATTATTACAATAATATATACATAGTACGTATGTATATATAATT